TTGCAGAAAAGCTGACCCAGGTCATTTCTACAGATCCCGCCAGCCACGACGAAGCAAAGCTGGGCCTTCCTGAACCGCAGCCTGGATGCAGTCCTCCTCCCACGTTGCTGGGCTCGAGGGCCCGTGTTCTGCTGAGAATCTCTGCATCCATGTTCAAAGGGATACTGGTCTGCAGTTTTCTTGTGATGTCTTTGTCTGGTTTCCGCCCACATCCCTTGGACATACTGCAATACTGGACTTTCACGTAGAAAGCAGAGCTTGAAACGCAGAAGGCGCCAGACAGGGCCCGGTGATGCCAGCAAACCTAGCAGATCTCCCTGCAGCAGGACCCACGCTCGAGGCCCTCCGCAGCCACACACCCACCAGCAGGCTCCCTTGCTCTGCTGTCCACGCCGCTCAGGGGCCTGCAGATGTCAGTATGGATGTTCTACGGAATTTGCAAGCAGCTGCCAGGCTCCCTCCAGCTTTCAGGCTGATAAAGAAACATGGCATTCTCTTCACCTGCTTCATCTTTCACCACACGAGACCTCATGAATGTGGAATCGGACTGTAGTGTCCCACACCCTGCCTGTCGGTGTGAAGGGTGGTAAGGGTGTGGCCCAGCTAAAACCTGGGACCCCTCTGCTTTTAACCCAAATCCCTTCCAGCCAAGCATTTAAACAGACCCGAGCCTTCCCCATACTCATCCTCACTGGGGCTTGTGTGCTCTGACCAACAAACGTTGACATCCCTCAGAAAAGGATAAGCAAGACGTGTGCGACAGCCAACCTACATAACCCCAACTTTAAAGAGAGAGACCTGGAGAAGGATGCCCCAAATAAGAAACATTTGTATGGGCACTGGATACACAGATGGAAGATGGGACAGGAGAAGGAGGAAAAATCACCGGTGCATCCTGGACTGCCTGCTGCCTTCCGGAATCAGACTTGCAGGTCGCCAGGCTGTGCCCGCTGGTGAGCACCCTGTGTGGGAGGCGGGAGGCAGGAGGCAAATGCGTCACCTCCCAGGGAGCAGGCCATGCAGCGCACGGTGCTCACAGTCCTGGGGCACCAGGATTGTTCACTTCCCCACTGAACAATCTGGGTTTCAGGAACTCACCCAGAGGATCCAGTCCATAGAGGAGGGAAAAACTCACATAAAATGATGAAGATTTATAACAAAGGGTTGGATGAATTCTTGGTGATGAAATCCTATGTGAAAAGAACAAGCCGGGCGCGGTGGCTCATGCCTGTAATCCCAGCACTTTGGGAGGCCGAGACGGGTGGATCACGAGGTCAGGAGATCGAGACCATCCTGGCTAACACGGTGAAACCCCGTCTCTACCAAAAAATACAAAAAACTAGCCGGGTGAGGTGGCGGGCGCCTGTAGTCCCAGCTACTCGGGAGGCTGAGGCAGGAGAATGGCGTAAACCCGGGAGGCGGAGCTTGCAGTGAGCTGAGATCCGGCCACTGCACTCCAGCCCGGGGCGACAGAGCAAGACTCCGTCTCAAAAAAAAAAAAAAAAAAAAGAACAGTACGTAAACTTGTGCACATATTAAGACAAACTCGGCAAAATTATATACAAAAAAAAAACAGAGAATAGGGGACAGCCATGGATATGACGACCGTGAGGAAGACTTCTCTGGTCTTTAGTCTCTCCCTGACATTTGTTATTGTGAACGTGACGCCCCCTCGGGCGTCTGGTCTGCGTGGGCGTCACGGCACTGCAGTGTGTGACTTACAGGTTGGCCCCTGGGAGGTGCCTGGTACTGGCTGCGAAGGCACAGTCCAGGGCTGGAACACACACAGGGAGTCGGGGCTGGAACACACACAGGGAGTCGGCGGTCTATTTCCACATAGTGGAAGTCGACTAAGGCAGCTTAGTCGGCCTGGGCTGCTCTGAAGAAACTCCGCAGCGTGGGTGACTCAGGAACGGGCGTCCCTTCCTCACAGTTCTGGAGGCAGCGTCCGACCAAGGCGCCAGCACCGTGGCTGCAGGTCAGTGGGCACTGGCTTGCTGCGCCTCCCGCAGCTCCCAGAACCCGCCTGGGTAAGGGCCCTGATTCCACTCAGGAGGATGGAGTCCTCATGACCTCACTGCCTTCCACACCCCTCCTGATACCCTCGCCTTGGGACTGGGTTTTAACATATAGACTTGGGGGCTGTAAAACCCCAAATCATAGCAGGTGTTTTTTTTTCTTTTTTTTTGAGACAGAGTCTGCTCTGTCGCCCAGGCTGGAGTGCAGTGCCGCGATCTCGGCTCACTGCAAGCTCCGCCTCCTGGGTTCACGCCATTCTCCTGCCTCAGCCTCCCGAGTAGCTGGGACCACAGGCGCCCGCCACCACGCCTGGCTAATTTTTTGTATTTTTAGTAGAAACGGGGTTTCACCGTATTAGCCAGGATGGTCTCGATCTCCTGACCTCATGATCCGCCCGCCTCGGCCTCCCAAAGTGCTGGGATTACAGGTGTGAGCCACCGCGCCTGGCCAGCAGGCTATTTCTTTCCTGGCTTGCGGACGTGAGCAGTATCACCCTTGTGCATAATTACCTGTCTTCGCACCATCGATCTCAGGCAGCCATGCAGCAGCCAGAGTGTTACCAGTGAATGTTTCCAATTTCAATTACAAGAGGAATTAAAGGTCATGATCAAAATTCCTAGAAAGGCACTAAATATTAAAGGAGGATTCAAAATTCATTTCCCCACCAACAACAAAAAGACTAAGACCAACCCGGAAAGACCTTTGAATTTTAAAACACTCAATCTAAACCTCTGGAGCCGGCACGGAGGAGCCCACACTGCCACTCGGGCCCACGTCCACGTGGGACAGACGGTCACCGTCCCACGTCGTCCCCTCGCTTCGTCCACGTGGGACAGACGGTCACCGTCCCACGTCGTCCCCTCGCTTCGTCCACGTGGGACAGACGGTCACCGTCCCGCGTCGTTGTCCCCTCGCTTCGTCCACGTGGGACAGACGGTCACCATCCCATGTCATCGTCCCCTCGCTTCATCCACGTGGGACAGATGGTCACCGTCCCACGTCGTCCCCTCGCTTCATCCACGTGGGACAGACGGTCACCATCTCGCGTCGTTGTCCCCTCGCTTCGTCCACGTGGGACAGACGGTCACTGTCCCATGTCATCGTCCCCTCGCTTCGACCACGTGGGACAGATGGTCACCGTCCCGTGTCATCGTCCCCTCACTTTGTCCACGTGGAACAGACGGTCACCATCCTGTGGCATTGTCCCCTCGCATCATACACATGGGACAGTCACCGTCCCGTGGCACTGTCCCCTTGCTTCATCCTGCTGGTGCAGACTGGCACTCACGCTATCACCCAGGGAGACAGAAGCAAACGCTAAATCCTAAGGGTAGCCATGTGCAGGTGGGGGATGGTCACGCTGTGTGCAGTGAGAGCACCCGGCACGAGCACACACAAGTAGCCTGGCCTGAAGTCCCTGTGAACTGATTAAGAAGGTGTCTGTCAGAGTATCTCACAGAAGGTGGTTCCACGTGCCCACGTTGTCCTGACACACTCCCAAAGTGCCCCACCCAGTACTGCGCCCGGCCAGAGCGGTGGCAGAATTCCCTGACCTCTCACAACCCCCTGCACAACGGCCAACTCTAAGACCACAACTGAGTTGCAGGAGAGCTTCTTTTCTTTCTTCATCTTTAAGAAACCATCACCGAAAACAGGAAAGAAACCCACGGTTCACGCGGCCCCTTCGGCTGCGGTGGACTGACCTGCGATGGTGTGTGCGTACAGCCGGCTGCCGAAGGTGAAGACGTGCAGCTCGTACAGCTTGGCGATCTTCTCCAGGAAGTCCTTGCAGTGCGGACGCAGGCGCGTGTGCAACATGGGCTCACCCCGGCCCAGCTGGAAGTGAAAGATGCCCTGAAAAGAATGGCAGCAACAGTCAGGAGAAAAGGTCTGAGAAGCCCCAGCGGCCCCCACAACCCGCGTGCCTGAGACAGGCGTCCTGAAGACACACGTGTCCGAGGCAGGTGTTCTGAAGACATGCATATGCCTGCCCCTCCACATGGGACAGAGGACACACGTGTGTACATGCCTCTCCACACGCACAGAGGACATGTGTGTACACGCCCCTCCACATGGAACAGAGGACATGCATGTGTACACAGCCTTCCACATGGGACAGAGGATATGAGTGTGTACACTCCACGTAGGACAGGGGACATGTGTGTGTACATGCCCCTCCATATGGGACAAAGGACACGTGTGTGCATACACCCCTCCATGTGGGACAGGGGACAGTGTGTACACGCCCCTCCCCGTGGGACAGAGGACCACACGTGCGCCCATCCCTCCATGTGGGACAGAGGTTGCATGTCCACCTGCCCCTCCAAATAAGGACGTGACCCTAACTGGTGCAAGGTGCTACCTGTGGCATTTAAAACCCACTGTGTAAGTACTTTCCACGCACACGGCATGAGTGGCGAGTGCGGCCTTCTCAGCTGCGGGAATGTCCTTGACGCGTGTGATTAACGGCTGCCCATGATTACTAGGATAGCCACCTACCTGCAACAACTGTCCAAGATCACCACCCTGGGTAATCACGTTAACAGTAACAGCCTACGATAACTACATGATGACCACCGATGACAGCTACACTCACTACTCATGCTAGCTACCTACCTGTAATCACGTTAACAGTAACAGCCTACGATAACTACATGATGACCACCGATGACAGCTACACTCACTACTCATGCTAGCTACCTACCTGCAAATAACCCGGCCCCTGATAACCACATCCCCAATAACCAGCCAACAGTAACCACCTATGACAACCACACAACAACCATCCCCAATAACCAGCCAACAGTAACCACCTATGACAACCACACAATAACCATCCCCAATAACCAGCCAACAGTAACCACCTATGACAACCACACAATAACCACCCCCAATAACCAGCCAACAGTAACCACCTATGATAACCACACAATAACCACTCCCATAACCAGCCAACAGTAACCACCTATGACAACCCACACAATAACCATCCCCAATAACCAGCCAACAGTAACCACCTATGACAACCACACAATAACCATCCCCAATAACCAGCCAACAGTAACCACCTATGATAACCACACAATAACCATCCCCAATAACCAGCCAACAGTAACCACCTATGACAACCACACAATAACCATCCCCAATAACCAGCCAACAGTAACCACCTATGACAACCACACAATAACCATCCCCAATAACCAGCCAACAGTAACCACCTATGATAACCACACAATAACCATCCCCAATAACCAGCCAACAGTAACCACCTATGACAACCACACAATAACCATCCCCAATAACCAGCCAACAGTAACCACCTACGATAACCACACAATAACCAGCCAACGGTAACCACCTATGATAACCACACAATAACCATCCCCAATAACCAGCCAACAGTAACCACCTATGATAAATCACATAACCACCATGACAGCTACACTCACTACTCATGCTAGCCAATTACCTGCAACAACCCGTCCCTGATAACCATCCCTGATAACCAGACAACGGTAAAACCACCTATGATAACCACAATAATAACTATCCCCAATAACCACAGCCAACAGTAACCACCTATGACAACCACACATAACCATCCCCAATAACCAGCCAACAGTAACCACCTATGACAACCACACATAACCATCCCCAATAACCAGCCAACAGTAACCACCTATGATAACCACATAACCAATCGATAACAGCTACACTCACTACTCATGATAGCTACCTACCTGCAACGACCGCCTAGGATAACCACCCCGATAACCAGCCAACAGTAACCACCTATACTAACTACGAGATAACCACCGATGCCGATGTCACTTCTGCCTTTGTTTCTTCAAATGCTGACACGTTACACAGCAATGCCACTGCAGGTGCTCTGAACAGACCTCCTCCCACGTCACGTGCTGACAGTGCTTTCCTGAGCTACTGAAGAAAAGAAATCAACATTCCCAGGTAACCTGGTGTAACACACGGGTGATTTTCAGATACAGTTTCTTTCATTTACATATACAACACAGAAGCTGAAAGTATTCTAAATCGTATTTAGTAGACAGATGGAATGAGCAATACCAACTCACTCGCCTACATATGATCGACACGCAAATAAGACTGCTTTCCTCAGGAAGTTACACTTCGATCCTTTTAATCCTGTTAATTTCTCAGTAAAATATTTCCTCTTAATGACTTTAATTAAGCTCAGTTACATTTTTCCAGCTCTAAGTTAGTTAGGATCCTCGGAAAGAAGCTACTCTGTTAAAGATCTACCAGTGAAAAGTTTTAGTAACAACTTTCCCAGTTACATTTTTCTAGCTCTGAGTTAATTAGGACCCTCATGAAGAAGGTACTCTGTTAAAGATTTAGGACTGGGACGTTCCAGTAACAACTTTCCCATTACTCAACAGTAACAAGTCCAGCAGCTGTCCAGGCTTCGGGAGGTGGGGCCAGCACCACTTCTGAGCCCTGAAATTGCTTTCAGAAGGGCCAGGAGTACGGCCAGGCACCAGCCTCAGGGTCTCCTCTGGATGTCGAGTGGGGTACACTAACACTACTGAGGCGGCAGAGGACAGTCAGTTCATGCTTAGACCCCCTTCCCCACGACATCAGGACACTGTCGCCTTCCAGACCACACAACTGAGAAACAGCCACATTATAACCAGACCCAACGGTCTTCAGCAGGCCTATGCTGGAGATACTGAGAATCACAGGAAATTTTTGGTTTCCCAGTAACTATAATCCATGCTGACACTCTACTGTAGCTTATTAAATGTGCAATAGCTTTATGTCTAAAAGAACAATGTACCTAGCTTAATTTAAAAATACTTTATTCTCAAGCCTGTAATCCCAGCACTTTGGGAGGCCGAGGTGGGTGGATCACGAGGTCAGGAGATCGAGACCATCCTGGCTAACACGGTGAAACCCCATCTCTACTAATACAAAAAACTAGCCGGGCGAGGTGGCAGGCGCCTGTAGTCCCAGCTACTCGGGAGGCTGAGGCAGGAGAATGGTGTGAACCCGGGAGGCGGAGCTTGCAGTGAGCAGAGATCCGGCCATTGCACTCCAGCCTGGGCGACGGAGAAGGACTCCGTCTCAAAAAGAAAAAAAAAAAAACAAACTTTATTATTAAAAATGGCTGGGCGCAGTGGCTCACGCCTGTACTCCCAGCACTTTGGGAGGCTGAGGTAGGCGGATCACTTGAGGTCTGGAGTTCGAAACCAGCCTGGCCAATATGGCGCAACCCTATCTCCATTAAAATTAGAAAAATTAGCTGGGTGTGGTGGTGCACACCTGTAGCCCCAGCTACTCGGGAGGCTGAAGCACAAGAATGGCTTGAACCCGGGAGGTGGAGGCTGCACGATATAGAGATTGTGCCACTGCACTCCAGCCTGGGCAACAGAGCGAGACTCCGTCTCAAAAAATAAAAAAATAAAAAATAATTTTTAAATAATTATTAAAAAATGCTAACAACATCTGAGGCTTCAGCAAGTCAAATTCTTTGGCTGCTGTACGGTCTCACCTCGATGCTGACGGCTGCTGACCGATCAGAGGGTGTTTACTGAAGGCTGGGGGTGGCTGTGACGGTTTCTTGAAATAAGATGACAAGGAAGTTTGTCCCATCAATCAACTCTTCCTTTCACAAAAGGTTTCTCTGTAGCATGCAACGCTGTTTGACAGCATTTTACCCACAGAAGAACTTGTTTCAAAACTAGGGGCAATCGCCGTAGACCCTGCCACTGGTTTATCAACTAAGTTGATGGAATCTTCCAAATCCTTTGTTGTCATTTCAACAATGTTCACAGCATCTTCTCCAGGAGCAGATTCCATTTCAAGAAACTTTCTTTGCTCATCTGTAAGAAGCAACTCCTCATCTGTTTGAGTTTCATCCTGAGGTTGTCAGAATTCAGTCATCTTCAGGCTCCACTCCTAATTCTCTCACTATTTCCACCACGCCTGCAGCCCTTCCTCCGCTGAGGTCCTGACACCCTGGAAGTCATCCATGAAGGTGAGAACCAACACCTTCCGAACTGAGGGCTGGAATCACCATCTCCTGAACTCCTGGTTGATGCTGATACTCTGACCTTCTCCCATGAATCACAAATGTTCCTGGGGGCACTCACAACGGTGAATCCTTTCCAGAAGGACTTTTTGTTTGATTTTCCCAGACTCATCAGAGGAATTGCCCTCTAAGGCAGCTCCAGCCTTAGAAGATGTAGTTCTTAAATAATAAGACTCGAAGGTTGAAATCATTTCTTGAGCCCTAGGTTGCAGGGTGGATGTGGTGTCAGTAGGCATGAAAACATTCTTCTCCTGTACGTCTCCATCAGGGCTCTCGGGTGACCAGGTGCATGGTCGATGAGCAGGAATATTTCTGAAAAGAATCTCTTTCTGAGCAACAGGTCTCAAGAGCGAGCTTAGAATGGTCGGTAAACCACGCTGTGAACACAGGTGCTGTCATCCAGGCTTTGGTGTTCATGGATGGAGCACAGGCAGAGGAGATTTAGCCTCATTCTTAAGGGCCCTGGGATTTTCAGAATGGCACCTGGGCACTGGCTTCAACTTAAAGTCAGCAGCTGCATTAGTCAGTCTCCAACGAAAGAGTCAGCCTGTCCTTTGAAGCCGGGCACTGACTTCTCTCTAGCTATGAAAGTCCTAGACGGCATCTTCTTCCAATAGAAGGCTGTTTTGTCCGCACTGAAAATCTGTTGTTTAGTGTGTTTAGTTTCATCAATGATCTCAGCTCGATCTCCTGGGGAACTTACCACAGTTTCTCCATCAGTACCTGCTGCTTCACCTTCACTTTTACGTTACTGAGACGGCTTCTTTCCTTCAACCTCATGAACCAACCTGCGCTGGTTTCCAGCTTTTCTTCTGCAGCTTCCTCACCCCTCTCGGGCTTCACAGAATTGAAGACAGTTAGCGCCTTGTTCTGGATTAGGCTTTGGCTTAAGGGAATGTTGAGGCTGGTTTGATCTTCTACTGAGACCACTACAACCTTCTCCTTCTCAGCAATAAGGCTGTTTCACTGTCTTATCATTTGTGTGTTCACTGAAGTGGTAGTTTTAGTTTGCTTCAATAACTTTTCCTTTGCATTCACACCTTGGCTGTTGAGTGCAAGAGGCCCAGCTTGCAGCCTTTCCCGGCTTTCGGCGTGCCCTTCCTCACTAAGCATGATCACGTCTGCCTTCTCATTTAAAGTGAGAGACTGGTGAGCCTTCCTCTCATTTGAACACCTACAGGTCCCTGTAGAGTTATTACTTTGGCCTAATTTCAATACGGTTGTGCCTCGGGGAACAGGGAGGCCTCAGCACCGGGACAGAGACAGGGAATGGCCGGTTGGTGGAGCAGTCAGGACACACACATCTACCTATTATGCTTGCCGTCTTATGTGGGTGTGCTTCATGGCACCCCAAAACAATGACAACAGTGACCTCAAAGATCGCAGATCACAATCCCCTAGAGCAGACAGAACACTAATGAAGCAACTATAACAACAGTGACCTCAAAGACCACTGACTACAGGTCCCTGTAACAGCAGAACACTACCGAGGAGTCTGAAGTACACGGGAATTTCCAGAGCGTGGCACACACGCTGCTGAAGAATGACACCCACAGCCATGCTCGCTGGGTGCCCCAAGCCTCCTCTCTGGGAACACAGAGTATCCGTGAAGCACCATAAAATGAGCTGAGCCTACAAAACTCACTCAGTGCCCAACCTCACAGGCACAATAAAAGCAGGGAACAGTCACAACAACTCACGAAGGTGTATGTGTGCAGAATGTATTTTCATAAAGTCCTTACATCCTTCAAAATACCTAGTTTGTCAGAAAATAGGCATTAAAAAAAACCTTAGTGAGTAGTGGATATGAATGAAGCAAACTGAAAATATCTAGTCACAGTTTATACTGCATAGAAGAATATATTGCTATATAACATGCCATGATACACACAAATGACTAACACAGCCAAAAATAGAAGCTGTTTTGTGGGTGAGGCCTGAATTCCAGCCCTAAAGGAAACTCCTGTGCAGCACGGCAGTTACTCGATGCTCTCCATTCTGCAAATAGCATAAAACGTGAGAGTTTGTGCCACCTGGGGGATCTGTGCAGATCACCCTGGCCACCAGGCTGACGTACCGGGCCGAACTTAACCCAACTTCTTTCAGACGAAGCTTGTCACCAATTTGACTTAGGTGTAACTGTCATCAATCTGTCCCAGCTGTCGGTGCCACGCCCCACCATTCCGCAGTGGAGGGCGCCTGGCTCTGCGGTGCACCCTCCAGCCTGCTGGGCGTCTGCTATTGGGACCTGCAAGATCCCCAGGAAGCTTCAGGAACTGGAAAGGTCTGAACTGACAGGCGCCTGAACTCCCAGATCTAACGCCAGAGTCCCCATACTATCTGTTTAACAGCAAACATTTAAAAAACAACTCAGTGTTGGTGAGGGCCTCCCTGCTGGCGACCGTCTAGGCCCACACAAGCCTCTGGGCACAGATATAAAAAGCCTTTGGTCTAGAAATTCAGTTTCTCTGGCTCCATCCTGAGGACACAGCTGAGGTGCAGGAAGGGTTCTGTGTGCATTAAACAGGGTTCTGCCCTTATCCTTCGTTTCTCCCTGTATTTCCTCTGCAGAATGCAC